AAGGGAGGTCTTGGGCGGAGGTCAGGAGATTATCTTCAGCGGAGATGGAATAATCAGAATCACCGACTGTAGTAGAACTGTAATTGCCTAAAGCTGAGAACCCATCCTTTAAAAGCTCTGTATTTCTGCTAATGTTGAGGAAATTTGGATGTTGAGACAAGAAGGTCTACCATTTTTCCTCCTTTGCTGGCAAAGTAATAAAACTTCTCTTTCCTCCTCCCCAAACCACTTTTCCTCATTCTTCTGATTCGGCCTCATGGACAAGTGCCGAATTTTTAGTAACGTTTATGCGTATATATTAACTATGCCTATCCCTTTGCAGAGTTTAGTTCCCTAGCACAGTTCCCACCTTGTGGCCTTTTATTAATTTTATAAAGGGTGTTTTCATTATGTGGAATTAATTCACATCACTGAGCCATTCAGTCTATGCTGGAAAAGTTCTGATAATTAGATTCAATTGAATTCAGTTGTTCTGTGAAGGTTCAGTTTTACTTGAGTGTCCTTACACTTTCACACTATTGAAAGTAACTTCTGTTTGTAACTTGGGGAAAGTAGAGCCAACTATCTCTTTAAGGGAAAGCTGAAATTTTTATCTTTCCTTATAGGATCTTGTGGAGGAGAAAGGAAAACGTCCCTTTTGCCTCCTGAACGTTTACTCACAATATGGCAGAAAAAGATTGCAAATTTATTTACCATGTGCAGTGGGAGAATCACAGAGTGGTTTCCCAATATTCCAGTGGGGTCCAGAAGTGTACATACCCTCATTTTAAAGGGGAGGGGGGAAATGAGGAATATAGGCAATTCTGTTGAGGGGCAATAAATGGTTACTAGGGAGGACCAGTGGATGGGGGAAACAGATTGACTTGTAAATGAGTCTCTTTGGAAATTAAATTAACCTGAAAGACAGGTATTATATTTAAAATGAGTTGGGCCAGGTTTGGTTGCATTCTTGATCCACTTTCCAGCAGTATATTGAGATAACAGGGAGGAGAAGGGAAAAAGATTATTCTTTTTGATGGGTCCCTCTGGTTTTATGCAGATAGAGGGAAAGCTTCTTCCAAGGGCCTGTTGATTTCTAAGGGCCTTTAATTCAAAATACTCTTTCTACAAAGGAGTCATATTTTGGGGTGGAATTCCCTGAGATCCTTCAATCTTAATCATGAAAACTAACAGCTGGTATTAAAGGGATGTTTTTCTTTCTCTCAGGAGGGTTTCTATTTTAATTCAAAGATATATTAGTAATGAAAGAAGGCTCTTAACATTATGATATGCAGAGAGTTTAAGTGATAAAACTGAAGTGATCTAGTTTTCTAAGAAATGCCACATATTTTTCATTTTCTACCCCTCTGAAAATTGAAAAAAGGAAGGATATTTCTGGTCTGTAGCTGTGATTGGCATCAACAGCATTGAGCCATATTGATCTGTTACAGGTTCTTGTGTAACAACAAATAATTATTTCATTTTACTTTAGTAAATATAAGGGAGTCTCCAACTGCTAGGTTGGAAAAGAAGAGTTCTATGTGTTGGGTTTGGCAATCTCATTCTGTGTTCTCCATTCTTGGTGTGCTTTTGGCTAAAAAATGACCAGACACACCAAAGTAAGGCAAGTATGAGGTGAAATTTATTGAGGGGGAGCAAGATAGGATTATAGAGCAAGAGCAAGATACAGATTTATAGAGCAAGATACATATGCCACAGATGATGACCAGACCCCTTGTTGTGGCAAAAGAGACCTTGGTTATGGTCTGGGTCTTGTTTTATAGTGTCCAGATAGGGACCTCTCCATGGTTCAGATGTCATCATGGAACCACTTTGATGGACAGTTGGGAATTGTATGACCTGAGTCTTACTGTGCATGTGGATCTCCCATGAGCCTCTCTCAAAGCCCATTTGGGAGATGAACCGCAATGTAGATTTAAGTTTGTGGCATGAAAACTAGCCTTAGGTTGTCCTAAGTCACCTTCCAGACTCTGTTGTACTTATGCCAATTGGCCTGTGGGCTAGAGAGTCCTCTGCATTCTTTTGCAGTTGGCGTGCTAAGTTCTGATTGGTAGATTGGTAGGGTGTTCCCTCCTCCCCCAGGTATGGCAGTGGCTCTGGACAGGTTAGGGTGGCAGCACCAAAAGATGGGGGCTGGGGCCTGCCCTTGTCTTTTTTCCCAGGTGGGGTAATTGCTCAAGGCAGCACCAAGGTAAGGCATGCACTTTCATCCCTAGGAGACCTGGAATCCCTTGCTATCTGCCTAACATTTGTACTAGTTACTCTTCTCATCTATTAGTAAATGTTTACTTACATGAGTAAGGCAAGTACTGGAGACATTGTGTAAGTTAATAAGACATAAAAGTACTTTAGAATCATGACCAAATAGTGATTTTTCATGTGGTGCACAGAATGGTGATTTGGGATATGGTGGTATGAGAATGAGGCATTCTTTTGATTGAAATTTTTAAAAAATGTTGCCAGCTGTTAGCCTCAGCTCCTTAGGAGTCTGAACCTCTTATGCCAGAGTCCCAACATTCCTTATCGCCTTTTCCTGGGCCCAAGCAAAAGACTCCCAAGATGAATTGGACCAGGATATCAGCCGTTTTCAGTCTGGAGCTGGTATTTTCAAAATTAAAATCCATCCGTTTCTTTGAAAATATGTTATCAGTGGAATGCCTTCATCATGCTACCTCCTCTCTGAATTCTAATAGGAGTGCTTAAAAGAGATAAAGTCTACTCTTTTCTTTTTTCCCCCTCATTTTTTCTTTAATTTTAATTTATGTTATTTGTTGTACATTTTGTTTATCCTTGTGCAATCTCATAAGTCGTATTAGAATAAGGAGAGGTATAAATGAATGAATTTTAATTTAATTTGATTTAAAGCAGTATTTCCCACCTGGGATGCATATCAGAATCACCTACATACTATTTAATTAAAAAAAAAACAAAACAGGTGGTAGGCCCCACATGGGACCTTCTGAGTCAGAGTCTTCATGATGATGGGGTCTAAGCTTATGGATGGTCCAAGAGTTCCCCAGCTGTTTCTGATATGTATCTTTGATTTTGAACCACTGTGCTAAAGCATGTTTTCTGTTTGTTTAATTTTCTAGTATAATATGTGAGATAACTGTACGGCAAATATTTTTCTGGTGTAATTTGTACCAAGGGTTTTCTATAAATTTATTTTTATATTAACTTTAAAAAGATTTTATGAGTATATGTGTATATATGTACATGTGTATGTATATGTTTATGCACACATGAATATGTATGCATAATATTTGATGTTTCTTTATCATTTGACTGTGAAAACAGTCAGATACTTATTTTGGTTTTTTCCTTTTTTTTTTTTTTTTGCAATGATCATTTACTGTTCTGTTACACAACCCTGAATGGGAATGAGCTCATTTCCATTATGAACTGTATCAGTAAACAATGATGATCTTGATGAATTTAATCTTGATTGCTGTAACTGTCATTGGCAACAGAGTATGACACTGCTCATTCAGTTTGCATAGAATTTAAAATTCATAGTTGAGGGATTAAATAAAATTATTAAAAGGGTTAGGCCAAATTTTGATAATGTCTCAAAGCTAGCCATTTAAGGTTATGGGAACTTGCTGAGTTTGAATGTTACTGTTTCTCAAGGGTCTTTATGATTCAATACAAACCGATTCATACTTCTTAAACCAGTACTTGTTTGATAGTAAGAGTTGTAATAATTAAGACTTACATTTTAATCTTGGTTCCAATATAGATTTGTTGCCTTTATGAATATAAGCAAACTCATTAGTTTTCTATTGCTCAAATTTGGAGTGAGTAGCAAAGAATTTACCAAAGACTTTAAATTCTATTGTAAAAGTTTAACTTTTGTTTGCTGTAAATGGCACAAAATATATCTGCAGTTGATAACAGAAAAGAAACTATCATCTTCCACATTAACACATGTAAGAAAAATTTGTTTGTGTTATATAGCTCCAAGCTTTTTTACAGGGGATAAACTTTTATATGCCACAACTATTAATAGTTCCCTTAAGTCTGTTACAATATTGTAGTGTTAGCACATTGTGTGTGTGCTTTAAAAAATTGCATGTTAAGTTCCATGCTATTGTTTCTCAATTCCTGTACCTCCTCGGATGACTGTCCTCTGTTTCCTCCACTACCAAGCCTCTTTAAATATAAAGAGACACTGTGATGGTCCCTAGCGTGGCTTTTCAGGAAAACTCATCAACTGCAAGAAAATGCACTTTATTAGCATCTCTGCATAGCATCTCTCCATAGTGAGTTTGCATGGCTTCTCATTTTAAAATGGAATCAACACATTTTGGTCCTTGCGAGAATAAATGGATTGAGTTGAATTCTGTTAAACTTTGGTGGAAATTATTGTCATTATCTAAATGAACATTTTTTTTTTTTTTTTTTTTTGAGACAGAGTCTCACTTTGTTGCCCTGGTTAGAGTGAGTGCCATGCCTAGCTCACAGCAACCTCACACTCCTAGGCTCAAGCAAGCCTACTGCCTCAGCCTCCCAAGTAGCTGGGACTACAGGCATGCGCCACCATGCCCAGCTAATTTTTTCTATATATTTTTAGCTGTCCAATTAATTTCTTTCTATTTTTAGTAGAGACGGGGTCTCGCTCTTGCTCAGGCTGGTCTCGAACTGCTGAGCTCAAACAATCCGCCCGCCTCGGCCTCCCAGAGTGCTAGGATTACAGGCGTGAGCAACCGCGCCCGGCCCCTAAATGAACATTTTAAAATAGGAAGAAAATGTAAATAAAAAGAAGGGGGAAAAAACCCTCACACTTACTATCTTAGATAGAAGAGTAATAGGAAAAAATCTTCAAATGACCGAAAAAGCTTTCTGAAGATCTTTCAATTTGAGGATTGAGACGACTTCCCAGTTATTGTATGAAATGTATGTTTAGGGAGAGGTGACTCTATAAAGCCAAATAAGCTACTATCCATGTCTTAAAAATTAATTCTGCATATTCTTTGGTGGGTGGTGGGGATCGGTTTTAGGATATGACAGCGCGTGATCTGCTACAGCAGAGATACACTCTTCCAAATGGAGATACTGCCTGGCGGTCCTCACCCCTTGTGCATGCTGCTCTGGAAGGCAAGCTGGTCCTGCTGGACGGCATCCATAGGGTCAATGCAGGCACACTTGCTGTATTGCAGAGGTTTGTATGGGACACAGAAAAGCACAAAACGCACACACACACACACACACACACACACACACACAACACGCCAACTTAGTCAGTAGACGTGGAACTCTCTCAACCTCTTTTTTTTCCCCCAGAATATTGCAGGGCTGCAAATGTTTTGGTTACATGGATTGCTTTTGTACTGCTTGAGGCAAAGTTATAAGCGTTCCCATCACCCAGATAGTGTACATTGTACCCCCAAGTATCATTTCACCCATCTCCTCCTCTCCCCTCAAACTTTTTTTTTAAACTTAATTATGTTAGATCCTGAGAAACTCAGGATTCTATGTCCAAGTAGAATGGCAGATTTTTTATTGCTATAAACACAATGCAGTAAAACTCCAAATAATGAACATTTTGGGAAAAGCCATTGCCATAGCAAAATTCTGCAAAAAGAAAAGCTTTCAGTAGTAATTTTGAAAGACTTTACATATAAATCTATATATGCAAAAAGTTCACACATAGCTGAAGTTTCTACAGTTTGTCAGAGTCACAGCTTTACTATCTAAAAAGTCCTCATGAATCATAGACATTAATTATTGGTTGATGTCGTTGGAATCTTTTCTGAGAGAAAAAAATGTAGTTTTTAATATAAAATGTGTAGTATCTGTTCGATTAGATTTTATGTAGACAAAAAAAAGCTTACTTTGTTGTTACAAACTTGAGCATTTCTTTGTAACTATATTTTCTTATTTCAGTTTAGGTGGGAAACATTTCCACACATTCCTAAAACTTCTCCAGAATTTAATGTTGAGAGAAGACTCTTCATGTGTAATTTTCGTAGAAAATTTTCCCATCCTGTGTCATTTTAGGAGATTAATGATACTGATATTTTTTGTTTCATCCTGGTTCTATACCTTGCAGACATTTGATTTTTAACTTTGAGTTATTGGGAAAGGTCAAATAAGTGGAATAAGTCATTTCCCCAACTGACTACTCAAAGTTTTTTGTTCCTGACGAGATGCAAATACCAAGTGTAATGAAAGATTCTAAACACATTGTGTTAAACCTGATTAGATTTTAGAGTATTTAAAAATAATAATTACAAACTTTCAGTGATTTACTGTAAACATTCCATAGATTTACAATATTTTTTCTCTGAAACAGACAAATGCAGACACAGTAATAGTCCCTTTTTATTGGCTGTCTCTCGCACATTTGGCTGAGTAGTCATAGTAGCAGCAGCAGCTGCCAGTGAGTACGCACTCTGTCCTGGGCACTGTGCTAAGCCAGTGCTTCTCAGGTTCTCAACCTTGGAATCACCTTACAGGATGGAAATTAAAAAATCCTGATACCTGGGTCCCACCTCCACAAATTCTGACGTAAACACTTCTCAGAAGGTTCTAATGTGCAGCCAGGATTGAGAACAGCTATATATGCAGGATTGAGAACAGCTATATATGAAGCATCGGTTTTACATTAGCTGTTTAATTTTCACAGCAACTCTATAAAGTTGGCATTACTACCTCAATGTTACAAAAGATAAAAGTTTAGAGAGGTGGCCTGGTTCTCCTCCTCCTTAGTCATGGAGCTAGTAAGGTGTAGAGCTGGAGTTGAAACCAGGCCTGACTGGCTTCCCTGCCCATGCTCTTACCCTGTGAAGTGTATCGTTTCTCCTCCCCTCAGAATGGAGGCGTGTGGGGCAACTCTAACATGGGCAGCAGGAGACTTAGGGGTTGGTGTAAGATCTAGAGCAGTGCTTGCCGACCTTTGCAACATTTGGAAAACAGTATTGTTTGTGGTGTGGATGGTTAGGCCACCATCAGAGTTGACATATTAGAAGCAATGTAGTTATTTCATTATGAAGATTTTTGGTATTTAAATTCCATAATTCCCAAGATAGAAATATTTTGATACTATCAAAATATTTAAAGAGTTACATTAGACTTAAGGAGTATGTGCCAACTGCCTTAGTCATTAATATGTACCCATGCTTATTCCAAGTCACTCATTCAGCTATTTGTTTTCCTCTCCCTCCTCCTCCCTTTCTTTTCTTTTTTCTCCTCTTCCATTTTCACCTCTCCTCTTCTTCCCTGTCCACATCTAGTGTTCATGACTACTGCCCTCCAGGGCAGAAACCAACAGTTTTGCCAAGTATAGCAGCACTAGCTAGCTTGAAATTTTGCAAAGTCCATATTACAAAATTGTTAGACTCAATTGCCAGCAATAATAGACATGATTAAAATGTTGGCAGACTGACTCTACCTCTGATAACTTCAGTATTCAAAACTGATTCATTTGTTTTCTGACTTTGCCCTTATCCCATTAGGTTAATCCACGATCGAGAGCTGAGCCTCTATGATGGCTCTAGGCTGCTGAGAGAAGACAGGTATATGCGCTTAAAAGAGGAACTGCAAATGTCTGATGAGCAGCTACAGAAGAGGTAATTCCGGGTACATTACTCTTATTGTTAACTTATTTTTAAGTTAAAAATAACATTGTTTATTATTTTTCTAAACCTAGAGTCAAACCAAGGTAACTTTGAACAGTGTAATAATTTTGTGTCCTGGGCATGCTAGTAGTTTGGCACTTTTTAAAACGTAAGGTTGCTATCCAAGATGTACTCTGTACTCTCAGCCTTACTTTCAGATAAATGTTTAAACATTTTATAAGAACATTGGTTTTAAGAAGGTAATCCCTCCTCCGTTGCTCTACTAGTTCAGTTTTGGCCTCGTACTTTTGTATCCCCTCAGCAGAACAAAAGCTGGGCCCACCATTAACTGGGCTCACCCTCCTTGGGTGTCATCAGTATTCCTGGGGTATGCCACGTGACGGGGTATGCCACCTGACTGGATATGCCACCTGATGGGCATGCCACCTGACTGGGTATGCCACCTGACGGGCATGCCACCTGACGGGGCATGCCACCTGACGGGCATGCCACCTGATGGGGTATGCCACCTGACGGGGCATGCCACCTGACGGGCATGCCACCTGATGGGGTATGCCACCTGACGGGGCATGCCACCTGACGGGCATGCCACCTGATGGGGTATGCCACCTGACGGGGTATGCCACCTGACGGGCATGCCACCTGACGGGGTATGCCACCTGACGGGCATGCCACCTGACGGGGTATGCCACCTGATGGGGATGCCACTTTATGCAGGATTACCCGTCATGGCTTATTTAAACATTCCTTCCAGAGCTGTAACAACCAAATGCAGTGTTTGAGACTTGACTGGATCCTGCAGTAGGAAACAAAATGAAAATAGCTATAAAAGATAATTAGAAAAGTTTAAATATGGACTCTATATATGATATTGAATTAATACTAATTATCTTAAGTATCATAATGGTATTGTGCTTATGAAGGAGAGTATTCCTTTCACAGGAGATGTTTGCTGAGATACTTAAGGGATAAGTAAAAAAAAAAAAAATGCCTGCAATTGACTTCCAAATGTTTCAGGAAAAAAAAGTTGTGTATATGTGTATACAAACACACCACAGAGAGAAAGAAAGATCAAGTGAGATTGAGAACACAAATGTGGTAAAATCTTAACAATCGGCAAAATCTAGGTCAAGAATATATGGGTGTTTGTATTCTATTCTTTTAAATTTTTTATGAGTTTGAAAAATTTCAAAACTAAAAGTTTGAAGGAGGATATTTGTTTCAGCTGCATAGTATACTTTTCCTTAGAGGAGGTTTGGCAAGTATAGATTATTTTCCATCTCATTACATTTCCACAGATATTTTGACATAATTAGAGGTTGATACATTGGGGAAAACTCCTCGTCACTTAATCTGACCCTATTTAAGTGAATTTTCCCCTTCCTCCACAGGACTTAATGCCATATTTGAAACATTAAAATTCTACAAAAGACAAGGAAGGGTATTTATTATTGTGTTTATGTTTTAAGCAAAATTCTGTTTAAAAATGTTCTTAGAATTTTTTCTTAGAGGGGAAATGTTAAATTCCTACTATCTCTGTATAAATTATTAAAGATTTTACTTGATTACACAGCTACTTATAGTTCTGAGATGTACATTATCAAATTCCTCTAGACCAGGAAATAGTTTGGTCAAGTGTTTAGGGAGGCAAGTCGTATGGTACTTTCAGTTTATAACATTCAGTTTGTGTGCGTTATTTGCATGTGAATCACTAGTCAGGGAAGAGTTCATGTTTTCAGAGGGAAGAATCAAAGCAATTGAGCAATAGCTCACAGCAAGCCTGCCCGGTAATTTCCCTTAGGACATCAGGAGCATGGTACTTGTCACCAAATGTCAGGGAAATGACAACCCTTTTCTACAAAAAGTACCCAGGTTCTCCCTAAGGGTCACAAGCAGTTTTACAAGTGAAAACACTTTCAGGAACAGAGTGGCCCTGAGCATCTTGTTGGGTTTGGTTCGGAGTGGTTTAATAGTACTTTCTTCTGAAAGTTTCTCACTTTAATCACTATTGATTTGTGTCTCTCCCACAAATACAAACCAGTCTCAGCTCTATCTCCAGAGGTCACTCTGAGAAGGTGGAGAGAGATCATAGCAATGCTTGCTGTCCTTCACTTTTTAAATTTTTGTTTGGATTTTTACCAATGTTAAACTTGTATGAAACTTGAGCCAGATAATTTTTCAAAGTATTTTATGAAAAATACCATCCCCTGTCATTGGTTCTCTGACAGTCTCTATTTCCCACTTCTCATGCTCCAGAGGCTACCACTTTCAACTCTTAGTTGTTTCTTTTGATATTTACCTCCAGGCCACAAAACAATATGCTTTCATTGATATGTCCTGATTTATTTTTTAGTGTTAGGAATTAGCTATTGATTTCCCACATGGAAAAATAAAGATTTACCTCTTTCCCCACTTCCCATCTCGCTACTCATGCATACTTCCATCCAGTATTCTTCCTAGAGTTTATATGATGATCCTGTTTGGGACTTTATTTGATGTTTACATTATTATGACAGCATAAAAACTGTACCCAGCTGAGCCATTTAGTATATCATAGTGATTTCCCTTATTGTATGCATCGTGTTTTTCCTGAAATTAATAATTACCTACATATGAAGAGAGACAGATATGTAAATAAACAATTACAATGCAGTTTTAAATGTTAAATTAGAGGTCTGTATACAATAATGGTATGGGAACACTGGGGAGGAAGTGACCCTATTTTCTGTAATATGTATGTTTCACTTTTCCATCCTGAACACTTCCCTGTTCGTCTGAATCTCCTCTCGGCACACTCACACACATCTGGCATTTATCAAATTCCGTCTTCTATCAGTTTGGTCTTTCTCCCTTGGTGTATTCCGACAAACCCTACTTGGACTTGTTGCTCTGTACACGTGTAGCTCCTATGTCATCTTAGATCTCTCTCCACTCCTGTTTACCAAGTTTCCTCAGGTCTCTCTTTCTGCGCCTTTTATTATTTAGATGTACATTCAACCTCCTGGGCTGAACTTCTTTTTGTTCTCCTTCTCTCTCTTACATTCTGTCAATTAGTTGCGCATTCATTAACTTTTCAGAGGTGAGATGTTTTAACAATGATTCTCCTAGCTTGTCTAAAATATCTCTAACAGTTGGAAGCCTAATTCCTTTCCTTATCCGTACTCCTCCTTTTGTACTCCTTTTTACCTGAGAAACACACTATTTTCCTATTACTGTAAACAGTTTTTTTCCTTTATTTTGTTGTTTACACTGTTATGTTACAGAATCTGCTTCACTCTGATGGTATGGATTCTTGGTAAATTTCTTTACCTTTTCTTGGTTAACCTTGACTTAATTTTTTAACCCTTTTTTGTCTTTCTTAGAATAAATATCTTCTCTTTTAGGGTTATAATAGATTAGATTCTTCTTTTAAGTTATTCTCTAATATCTAACAGTATTTCTTTCGGGACTGTGTTTATTGGGTAGTGGGCTGACAGCTTGACTCAAAGTATATAACACAGTATAAAAAACAGGAAATTGGGACTCAGTGAGGAAATTACTTTATTTCGTGAGTTCTTGTAAGTAATATTGCCCATTATCTCTCATGGGTTGATCTTATATGCTGTTCATATCTAATATGTCACTCTTGGCACTAGCATTTGAACTACAAATTAGAAACTCATGACCCATGTTATCTATTCTTTCATTTTTGTACTTAATCACTGAAGTTCAATGAAGTGATTATTACTTCTGTAGTCCTCAAACAAACTCAGCTTTTACTTTATTTATTTTTATTAACGCTTTGTTTCCTTGTGGAAGATTTTAAGATAGAGAAAAAGGTCAAAGGTGGAATGACAGGGAAGGTTTTTGTTTTGTTTTTTAAGGGGAAGGGTTTGGCGGTGGAGTGGGAATGGTGCTCGTAGAGTAATACCTCCTGAGAGTTCATTTTAAAGCTCTTGTTCCAAATACAGCAGTTGGGTGATTTTGTTGAACTTGAATATCATAATGGTAATCCATGGACTCAGTCACTCTCTGGGTGCCCAGGATAGAGCCCAGGTAATTCTTATCTATAGACTGATTGGATATGCAAGTGTTTGTTATTAATCATTAGCATTACTTGTTTCTTTTATAGGTTAAATGTTTGAGTTCCAGCTCTTAGATGATGTCGTTGCTGCCTTCTGTGGTGTACCACACATGAAGGCAGACAGATATGTAAATAAATAATTACAATGCAGTTTCTAAATGTTAGACTAGAGGTCTGTACAAAATGCTGTGAGAACCCAGAAAAGGAAGTGATTAGTAACGGTGCCTTGAGAGGTTGGGAAAGGTTTCAGAAAGCTGTTAAAATTGGCATTTCCCAGGGTTTTCTCCTAGCCTTTTCTCTTCCTTAGGCAATCTCAGTCACTCTTATGTCTTTACCTGTCATTGATACACTGAGCATTCCTTAAAAGCTCTTTCCAATTTAGTTTTCTAAGTGCCATTTGACTACTGGTTATCTCCCCTTACATGGCCCAGAGAAACTTTGAGCTCATTTTTGCAAACCCACTATTCCTCTTGAGTGCCTAAACTTAGTGAACGGAACCACTGCCTCTCCACACACCTAGACTAGAAGTTTAAGTTATCTAATCCATAAATGTGATCACTTCACTGTTTAAATCCTTTAATGGCTTCCATCAGCTACAGGGTTCAGGGCTAATGTCTTTACATGTCTGCCTTTTTAACCTCATTTTTCACCTCTCAGGACCAGTGTAGCAAACTTCTGCTATTCTTTCAACAGTCACCTCCTCTGTGAAACCTTCTCTGACATTCCTATAGCCCTTTCTAAGGCCAAGGCAGAATCTGGGACTTCTTGGCCTCTAGACCCAGTTTGGTAAATTTAGATACCTGTTCTGCTTTCAGATAGAAAACTATGGTAAAGGTCATTGTATTAATCCAGTTTAGGTGACCTTTTCAGCTAGCAGTGTTTCCTTACATGAACCTACTGATTAGGAATACTTTGATGCCTTTTAATGGCAAAGTCTGTTGGCATAGGGTCTCATAATTAGCAGCTGCTAGCAGTGGGCTACCAACCCTTTCAACTTCATAGTGTGAAACCCAGTTTCTGAACAATTATATTCCACTCCTTTGCCAACATTCATTGTATACTAATTCTTCACCAAATTCATACATCTTAATCATTTCCAGAATGTTCTACAGGCTTTTATATTCTTTGCAGGTAATCACATGCCTAACATGCCTTTAGAAATGTTAGAGACTTCCCTTGTCGCAAGACACCAGGAATGCTGTGGACATAGTGGTTAGAAATAGCATGGTAGCCACACACACCAGATGCCATGCCTGCATTTCTCTCAGGAAATAAGGACCAAAATAGAACTGCTTCCTTTGATGAGAAAAACCTCTTTGGGGAAGAGGGAAGTACAAATACTATAGGCTGCTAAATGTGTCCCTTCCTGCTATTAACCAGAGAATAGATGAGGGGGATGAGAGTCTCCGTGAGTTATTAACAGTTTATTTCACCAAGAAGGGGCTTCTGGTTATCTCAGGGAAACAATAAAGATTAGTGGCCTAGTCTTAGTTATATATGCTCTAATGTTTTTGCATTTTTATGGAATATTTTATTTTTATTTGTTGCTGTTGAACATTGAAAACAGTTCATAATTTCTCAGTCTTAGTGGTGAACTATAATTGGACATTTGAGCACAGTCTTTAATCAGATTCTCTGGACCCTTTTGCTTTTACTCTCACCCATGTTTGAAGACAGTATGCAAGCATTCTCTTCTAGCTTTCCAGAAACCTCAGCATCTCTTTGCTAGCTAATTAGGCCATGTAAAGTCTTAACAAAATTAAAGATATATCAGGATTTTATGCCCAAGTCTTTGTGTTTGATTGTCAAAACAAAAAGCTTTAGCAAATTCTGATTTGAAAATAATTCTGAGCATTTTCATGGTCAGAGAACCATTTAAAACGCTATACCTGTGAATGGTGTAATTACTTATTGTATGTTTTGGATTTATCTTTTTGATACAGAGAATGTACCTTCTCTCACAAATTCATTCCAGATCAGATTTATCATTAGACTAGCTTTTGAGTGGGACACAGTGATTTTCAGTTCTTATCACTTCTCTTTGTCCTTGACACCAAAAGTCTTCAAAAAGTTTTTTGCAATGGTAGTTCCTAACAAGAGTGGTACACATTTATTTATTTAGCATCTGTCCTCTTCCAAGTATTACACTAGACCTTGGGTGGTATAAAGATGCATAAGGAATGTGTCAGTGCAGTTTGCTACACTGCATTGGGAAAAAAGGGAAATATGAGCTGTGTACAGAACTGTGTAACTTACTAGGTTATGAATTGGAACAGTAGTATTGATATTATAGTATGGAAGGCCAATGACAAAATGCTGTTCTAGTTCATGATTGATGTCTTTATAGAAATATTCTATATCATTATTTCACATCCCTTAATATGCAAATCCCACAAAAATGTATCATTTAATTCCCTTCAAAAGACTAGAGTTTATCAAAGTCTTTTTGTTTTATTAAAAGCCTTGTTGATATATAATATAACAAACTATGCATATTTAAAGTACACGGTTTGATAATTTTTGGTAATTACATATACTTGTGACACCATCAACACAATCAAGATGATAAAAACGTGTGTAATCTCAAAGTATCCTCGCACCTCTGTGTAATCCTCACTCCTGTCCCTTCTCACGTCCTTTCCCATCCCCAGGGATCTGCTTCTGGACACTATATATAGCTTATACTTCCTAGAGTTTTATGTAAATGGAATCACACAGTACATGTTCTTTTTTGTCTGGCCGCTTTTATTTAGCTTAATAATTTTGAGATCATTCATGTTGTTATGTGTATCAATAGGTCATTCCTTTTTATTGCTGAGAAGCATTAGAAAGTATTTTACTCTCTAAAAACTTAAACTTATGCCCACAGACACATTGACCTCAATATTTTTATTTTTTAAATCTTTTAAAATCTTTTTAAAAGTACTGTTTGCCTTTTGATCTTTAACCTTTAGGAAATAGTATCTATTTATCTGAAATTAAGCCATATCTTTAATTTCATTTGTTGTTTTGTTGTTGTTAAAACTGTAGTAAAATTAAAGTAACATTGATTTTAAACTTTAATGGCGCTTGTTTCGTAGTTTTCGATTATGTATCATTTCTTCAGCCTTTGTATTACTGACCAGTTTGTCAAATTGCTCTGAAGTACATGGCAGATCCTCTGCTCTCTAACTTTCAGACTTGGGGAACCTAGCATCATCAGGAAATGACTTTCCATATGACCTATTTGTATGTAAGGAAGCCTTTGGGGAGAACCTAGCAAACAAAAAGGCCCTTCTCATCCTGTTATTCAGTAGTTTGGTGGCTGTTTTTATAATCAGCATACATGTCTCTGCCTAATACATCAGCTGTCTCAGAAACCGCCTCCTTCAATTTAGCCTGCTCACTCAGATACCCTGCTAGAGTCAATACTATTGATAAAAAGCAAGTCACAGACAATGTATGTCCCAGGCAATGACCATCACCCTATTGGAATTTTAACTACCTGGCTTGCTCTCCTTTTAGTTGCTCTTCTGGTCCTAACTTTACAGCTCAGATGCGGTACCTGCTTCCTCATCTATTGGTTTAAGGATGTAAATTGGACTTCCCCTTTTGGCTTGCCTGTTGGATTTTGGCTTGATTCCCTGGTTTTGTGTCTCTCGCTATCTTAAGTAAGAAACTACATCTGCATGTTTAATTTTGTGCAGCCACACCAGGCTCTCTCTCTCGCCCACCATTTTTTGTCCCAGCTATGATAGAAGAGGATCAGGATGAATCCAACATCTGTTGCTAGGCCTTTGAGCAAAATTTTTTGAATGATAGCAAACCACCTAGCAGAAGTAGAAAACAGAATAACATCTCTCTTTAGCTTTCCCATCACAGGATTTTCTGTGTCCAGTTTTTGTTTTGTGACTCTCTAATTACTAGCAATCCCGAGTGACCATATTATCCTCAGGACTTTCAGGCACTGTCCGTGGTGTTATCCTTTCTTTTCCCAGAACAACTGCTTTGAACAGATCACTCCCCTAGGCCTGGCTGGAACATCTGTAAATATGTCTTTTTGTTTGTTTGTTTGTTTTTCCCTACCTAAAGAAATGAAATAATACCAGTAGCTTTTGTGAATTCATTCAGGCCTTTCATATGGCCATTTCTAAAAATTGCTCTTCTCTGGTTTACGGATTATGATGTGGCCTCTAAAATTACAGATCATGTAGTCAGGAACGTGGTGAACCTACCCATTGAATAGATGGCACTTTGTCTTAGCTCTTCAGAGTACTCATCTGATTCCCTTCACACATGTGCTACCTCCTGGTATTCTAGCTGCCTAATCACTTAACTATTTGGCTCTGTTATAGTAGTTAATGGCGATATGCCAGTTATGTACCTATATTTTTGTTTTTCTGAAGATCTTGGCAAGTGATTGAATTTCATCTCTCCCTTCTCTTAGCAAGAAGTGTATATCACTCTCTAAAAGCATATTTCTACTCAGTTTTTGAGTAGTGTTGATAAAAACCAACGATCACCCACATGATTAGATCATGATAAGAGGTTTTTGGGCCCTCCAAAAACAACTCAAGGCCTTTCTCAAACTATGGGAAGTCTTATCTTATTCCTCTATGTATCCTGGAATATTTATATGCTTCCTCAGATTTCCTAGCAGAGATTTCTAAAAGAGATCACTTTAAATATCATAACATTTCCTATAAAAAAGATACAATGACAAAAGAGTGAATTATATAAAGGTTC